CTGTGGCAAGACGTGCTTCGCCCGCGGCTTCGTGCGCGCATGGACGGACGACGCCGATATGCATGTCACATCGCCGACGTATCTGCTCCTCAACACCTACGACGACGCGACCATGGCGCGGTGCGCATTGCCTTACTGACGACGCCTGTGCTGAGATGATGATAGATCGCTGTATCACATGGACCTCTATCGTCTCGACAGCGTCTCTGCTGTCGACGCCAAGGCCATGGGCCTCGAGGACGCGTTTGCGTCGAGCGTCAACTTGATCGAGTGGCCCGACCGGCTCACATCGGACCTTGTGCCTGCAGACCGCCTCGAGGTCCACATCGCGTACACCGATACAGAAGACGAACGAGCCGTGGAGCTCAAAGCCTTTGGTCCATCGTGGGAAAGCGCGCTTCGCTGGTTCGAGTCGACGCAGGCTCAGTGATAGGTGATAGATCTAATCGAGGATGGTAGAGTCCCAGTTGTCGTCCTGTGTTGTTGTTTGCCGTCGTTGCGGTCTGGCGATCAAGAGCATGCCCGTTAGCCTCGTGCGATTGAGGCGACCTCCTTCCTCCCACAATGCGCTACTCGGATTGTAAGCGCTGCCGTAAAGCGCTTGTATCATAGCATGCAAGAGCAAACAAGGCCTGGGTATGGAAAAGCGGGCGAGTGGTCGTATTAGTTGGTGGGCGGCTGGCACGTATTAGCGTCGTTCCACTCGTCGATCTTCTTCTTGATGAACTCAATCACGACAGGGCTCGGGTCGATGAAGAGATGTGTGTCGTCAAGGTCCTGGATGATAAACTTTTTCTACATGGCAGCGTGAGCGGCCAAGCGTGTCGCCGTCGATGTCGCACCTGCCCGGGCGCTGCGTTGAGGTGCTTGAGGTACTGCTTCGTCGGCGGATCGCTACAGCCATCGTTAGCCCACACGCTTGCGGCGGCCATCGGCAGCTACGCACCACTTGACGAGCACACCAGCGCTCGCGTCCACGCCGCTGCGTCGCATTGCTCAACTCCACCGCAGGCGCGATATCCGGACATCCGGATACATCGCTTGAATACTTCCACAAGTAATATATATAAACATAGAGGTTTTGGAGATGGATCCATGTGGCACACTGCACCAAGCTTGCGAGTCATTGGATTCGATTGGATTCGCGAAGCAAAATTGCCACCGAAGGTGAACCAGAAGGTGTGCTTGTGGTGCGAGCAATGCGTGCCTCTTTGACGAACGGTTTGATACATATGAACCGCTGCCAGGTCTCTGCTATCCGGTCGCAAGAGGGCTAGGTGTAAATGCCAATTGGAATCGACGGTACGAATAAAACTATGGCTTGGCTTGGACGTCGCGCCGCAGGTACAGCCCGACGATGCGAGAACAGTGACCAGGCGCCAGTCGCTGACCTGCGCGAGGTTCGACTGGCCACGCTTTTTAGCTTGCCGCGGCCCCTTGCCGACGAACGATTGGTTTTGGTACTCGCCAGGAGGCCAGGATGCTGCGTAAGGTACTTAGTTTCTTATGCCGCCATGCATGATCTTGCTCGTTTCCACCCTGGACCTGGGACCCATGGTGGGCGCTCTCGTAGCGATCTCCCATCGCGGCGACCACTGGCAGTCACGACCAACGAGACGACCGATAACGACAACACACACTAGACACCGTGGCCCTCAACGTTATTCGCTGGCTCATCGCAGTCTCCAGCGTAGCGCCTACGTGAATTCGCTGGCTTCATTCTCCAACACGCGGCCGTAGACCATCTCGAGGTGCAG